TACATGAACAGAAAAAATACATACATACTATTTTTAACCTTGGATCTCGATCCGTAGCCCAGCAGGCTAATCAAATCACTACGCCAGTGTTTTTCAACCACCGGTCCGTCACAACCACTTTGCCGGTCTGTGGGATTTCACCAAAACAAAACTTGACAGAACATTCATATGTAAATCGTAATGGTGTTCATTATACTTGCATTTTAATTTACGAAGAACGCGAGCCGGACCGTGGTATCAAAAAGGTTAAAAACTGTGCACCAGGCCAACGTTCATGTTTTCAATTTGTCCATGCATAGGTGTAAGAGATACACTTAAGTATAACTGTAAATTGCTTTCCAATTTGAAAATACTGAAATCAAGTTAATGGAGAATTGAGGAATTCAAGATACTCGTAAAACAGAATGTATGTTCCAAACTTGGCTTAAAGTCGCTGATGGGATTGTGGGGATAACCAAAATAAATGTTTAAATACTTTCATACTGTGTTCAAAATGATCGTAGTACCGCATTTCAAATTTCAATAAAATTTCCTGAATAGTTGCCCCCCCTCCTCCCATTATGGTACAGCGGCATGTCTGCGGATTTAAAACGCTAGAAACCGGGTTTCGATACCCATGGTGGACAGAGCACAGATAGCCCATTGTGTAGCTTTGTGCTTAACTTCAAACAAACAAACCTAAATAGTTTTTTTTTAACATACTCACAGGGCTAAAAACTTTAAAAAAATTAATCAATCAGTGGAACTCTTCCCGTTTCTTAAAATTGATTTGGTCCATTTATTCCAAAATATATACGTGCAAATTAGAATATTTTATAAAGCTTTTCATATCTAAATTAGGTCATACGCATACCTAAACTGTTTATACCTAGTGCCACATCACATAGGTAAGATACGTAATTCAATAGATAACGAAGATACCGGTTAATTAGCACATTGAATATCTACACAGATCTTTGTTTTGTTTTGAACATCGCACAAAGCTACACGAAAGTTATCTGTGCTAGCCGTCCCTAATTTAGCAGCGTAAGGCGAGAGGGAAGGCAACTAGTCATCACCACCCACCGCTAACTCTTGGGCTACTATTTTACCAACGAATAGTGGGATTGATCGTGGCATTATAACGCCCCCACGGCTGAAAGGGCGAGCATGTTTGGTGGGACGGGGATTCGAACTCGCGACAGAAGTTCTTACATTTTGTCAAATGCTTCCCCATTCTAATAGTATTCTTGGCATAAATTTGTTTAAAAATTGTGCACTTGTTATCAGTTTGCACTTGTATTTTAATGTAGTTTTTAATGCTGATTTCAGAACTATAAATCAAACTTTGGAGAAACGAAAATAATTATTTTTATATATATCTATTATATTTTACTAGGTTAGGTCAGTTTATGTGAGGTTAGATCAAGTTAGACTAATTAGTAAATAATTACATATTTATTTAAATAAAAAATAAATTTCACAAAAAATTCTTAAATTATATTTCTGAAATATGCAGCAAATTGAAAGTACTTGGAATGTAATTAAGAGACGTAACAAGTTCGTTTGGCGTCGTAGGCATGAAAATGATGATCTCTTCAACCAAATATTTAAGAATATTTCTGAATTTTCACTTTGAATGTATTACATTATCACTAGATACCTTGTATTGTCTTGATATTTTGCAAATCTTTTAAATACTTAGGCATATATGTGATGTTAAAACTTACTTTGTTTGGTAAGCAAAATATTAAAAATATATTTCTTTTCATTTCTCCAAATTTTAATTTATATTTCTGGTAGAGGTAGCAATATTGCCCACATCAAAAACTGTATTCGTAACTGTCAAAGATGACTTACAGAATGCTACAATACTGCAAAATGATATTGACAATCTCACAGATATCAACTTGGAAAATATATCAGAGGGACAAATTAATACTGGTAGAATTTACGAATAAAAGAATTTTACATGCTGTCTCTGGTCTTTTGAGAAGGGAAATGCATCTCGTAAAAGACACCAACTTCTATATTCCAACTCACAACTGCTCACTGGAAAAAAAATGTCCCTCATGTTTCTGACAACCTGCATGACTTCATCACATGGTGTACCAATTCAAAGTCTTCCAGAGACGTCTACAGTTGTGTTGATGACAAGCAACATGTGCAAACCTGCAATTGGAATCTGGTGCAACAGCTACGTGTGTTTAAACCTGATTTGTGTAATCCAGTCGGGAATGGGTGGTATGTGGATGAAAATGGTAATATGAATTTGGATATGTAAGAGAATGAAACGGTTCCTGCACTAACAATCAATGGACATAAATTCAAAAATGCCAGCGTGTAACTGCAGTTTCTTTGTACAGAGTTGTGTGCCTACATTGGTCTCAAATTATCTGGTTGTTATAACTCTTTACGAACCATTGAATCATTGTTAGAAACTGAGAATGATGATGAAAACGGCACTCATTTAAGATTAGTAGAATGAACAATGATGCCGATTGATCTGCGTATTATGTGGTTATTGTGATAATATAATATAATCATATCAATTTCTTTTTTTTGGTAATATTTTAAATTAATCAAGCAGTTAGTTCAGTGCAAAAGCTTTCAAACGACAGAAAACTTTCATAGAATTTACTTCTGTTATTATTATTTAAGATCAAATTATAAATATATGTTTTGGGTATTATGATAGTGAAATGAAAGTTCGGCTTAAATTTTAACGATATTCGCTTAAATAAAAAATAAATTAAAATAATACCTTTGCTTGTTTTATACATTTTAATTTTAACCATTTCAATAATTCTTGGTAGCAATAGTAATACAGCAATAACAGTCTCTCTATATGTTGAGAACATAAATAAAAATGTAGGCTTAAATGACACCTAGACACTTTTTTTCTCACAACAACCTTTTCTGAATGGTTTGAGTGTAATCGATGACAACTATTAGTTTGCGAGTTACTCCCTTTTCTAAGCCCCTTTTTCAGATTTGTCACAGTGCTAACACCCCTGAAACTCACGTCTGTCGATTACAGTATAAACAATGATTATCGTAAATTCACAATAGTGTGAAGAGATTCTAAATGCTAATTTTCATCACTGATATTTCTTATAAAAAGAGTTGTCCTCAAACAAAATGAAACGGTACATAAAAAGCACGCAAGACGCTATGTTATTCGTGTTGTTCAACCCTCAAGTGTCCAAAGGAGATAATATATGTATTACAGGAATTCTTATTAAACTATCTGATATAGCACCAATCAAAAAATACATAAACACACACTTTAATTCATTAATTGAAAATTCATATCCATGGAATAAAATAATTCAGACAAATCTATAAAAACTTTAATACGATAGTATTTTTATTCTATTCATCTCGGTCATAACTATCAAAACACACATTTGACAATAACAACAAGAAACCTAAACCGCCTTTTTTTCTGGTTACTGAGAGCTGAAAACAGTTCTATACACAACTCTGTGGTTTTTGGTTGTCGTTATTTTTTAGCGCAAAGCTACACAATGGCCTATATGCGCTTTGTCCACCGCGAGGAATCAAGCCCTGGGTTTTAGCGTTGCAATTCCTAAGATTTACCGCTGGCCCAAGGTAAAAATATTTTGGAAACGGATGAATTAGTACAAGTATGAAACAAATAATTTTGAATATTCTGTAGAGATACATGATTATCTACGCTTAGTCTATACTTAACATTCCAAAGCTCTGCGACACTGCTGATTCATTACGACGCGATGAATGATTTAAAAACAATAACTATAATATTCATTAGTCCAAAAACAGACTTATTATTTTCATATACACTGACTACTTGCCGCGTCTTTGACATGTTTGTAGTATACACGATATGACAGTTTTGTACGTCATTAGTACTCATTACTAATGTTAAGAAACACCATTCATTACCGGCTAATGTGAGTTATAGTTTTTTTCAACAGAAAATAAAGGAAAGATGTATCGTAAGTCTGTCTAACTATATACACAAAAATATGCACAACGACACATGGTCAAATACACAAAAATATACACAACGACATGTGGTCAAATACACAAAAATATGCACAACGATACATGGTCAACTTTTGAGTAAAAACAATAAAAAGACGTAATATAAACTGACAACTTTAAGAAATAAAGTTATTTTTCCAGTGTATAATATAAAACTACATTTTTTGTGTCGGATGTTATGGCCATATCGTACTCGGATGACAAAGAGAAAACTCCAGTGTTTTAATATACAGCCGTATAAAGGGGATCTTAAAACAGCGTTTTACAGGGCGAAAGTCACTGCAGTAGTAAAACGTATAGGTCTGCATGTGATTTGAACCTTATAACGGGCAATTTTAGGAACATACAATATCATTACGAATACTTTCTTTTTTTTACATTTTACCCCTTCTTGTCTCAGTCACGAAGCATGTTCATTAAACTACACAATCCTATAAAAAATCCGAATGTTGAAGAGTAAGCTATGAGCAAACAGAATAGATACACCTACGCAGGAAAGAGATAATACGTCTCAATGATAAGCTATATATTTATAAGGAAGACAGACGTTGACTGTTACATCTTAACAGCATACAGCCAGCGTTTTATACAATGACAAAACTAGTGACCTTGAGAAAGAAAGCTCGTGCCGAGATTTTTACACCATGTTTGTCACGTCTTAACTATTTTAATTGTTTATTAAATGACAGGATGTTAGAACTGTATTTCATGGAATTAACAATTTTCAAATGGAAAACAACATAGTCATTTTAAAACTGTTTCGAGTAACTTAAACTAATTATGACCACTTTATAAAATAAAAAACAACATCGGAACATTTAAAAAAAACAAAGCTTGTAATTTGACAATCAGTGTTGGATCTTTTTATTGTATGCATGCGCACAATGAAGTGAAGGGCTTGGAAGATTCGAACCCTCCCCTGAGCCATAAAATATTAAAAAATATTCAAAAATATACAGTAGGCAAAATTACGTTTAGATGGCTTACTACTTATCTCTAATCTGAACAACCTTAAAACAATAAGAAAAACACGTATTATTGATATTCGCTCAGTAACCATTATAATATACAATTACAGCTTTGTTTCAATGTTTAAACTGTGAGTACTCTTTTGTTTGGCACACAAATCAAATTTACGCGTGTAAAGAGTAATACTGAGGTAAGTAAGTAATAACTTCTTATTTTGAATATTACTATAGTAATAGAACTAAACTTATTTTTATGTATTTCCAGTAAACCATTTTTTATAATAACGATAAAATATTACTTACAATAATAACATTCGTTTCTTTTTAATATTATTATTTGTAAAAAATCCAGAAGCTCTCTTCGAGCAATTATTATAAAATATTTTTGGTATAATCTTATATCATTAGGATTGGTTTAGTAAAACACAACTCTAAAAGTCGAATATTTAATATGATTAACTTTTTCCGTGTGAGATATTTTATGTATATATTATACATTAACTACATTTTATATAATAATATAAAATTAACGATTGAAATATATTTACAAATCATCTTGAAATATACGTCAAAAATACAAAATATGATCTCGTATTGTATTATACGATCCCTTTGAAAAAACTATAAGCACTTTAATCTATAACATACATATTTTCTTATAAGCTATATTCGTAGAGGCCTTTAAAGGCCTGAAAGTGAGGCCCCCTTAAAAAATCTTGATTGCGTGCTTGATTGTGTGTACCTGTTTTGATTAAAACTGTGTGCAACATTGCAAACTGGATGACGGATACTATTGTTGAATATTTATTATGGTTAAGAGTTCCGTGATCGGTAGGACTCACTTGTGAAAAAACAAAATGTTTAACAAAAATATCCTTGTCATAAATTATTTAAAATTGTGTCTGAACTACTCGGTACATATGTTAAGGTTCAGTTTTCACATTAGCTATGTAAATATTAGGTCTAAATGATAAAAAAAAAACTTATTCTAAAGTTATAATATGATGCTAAGTTACTTCTCACAGATACTGTACATTTTGTATTATTCTTAATTCATGTGTACATTTTTCTACAACTCTAGTTTTTCCTAAATCTCTAATCAATCAAACAAATTATATATACTGTTACAAAACCAAAGTTCACTATTTCCTTCTATTACAAGTTCCAAAAGTTATTTTGAAAACATTAAGTATAACATCAGGGAAAGTGTAACTATAGAAAAAAACAGAAAATCATTCGAATTTCTACTTCGTATGTATTTGTTTCAAATATAGAAGTTCAAATTAATATAAAATTAAGTACAATGGAAAATAGCGTGTATATTTACATTGAAAAAATACAACAATTTTCTTCGTATGGTTATTTCAGTACAACGTACTGCTTACGAAATTAAACAGCAAGCATTCACACCAGTCTTCACACTGAGAAAATACTAATATTACTAAAATTATTGACATTCTGGTACTAAAATATTATAAACAATAATAATAATAAAATCCCCAAACATTAAATTTATTGTGCTAGTCCTTAGAAAGTGGGCAACTAACGACTAACCTTTCAATCTGTGGCTGTCGGGCAAAGAAAAGTCCCATTGTAGACATGGTCTCCCCATTACCTTTGGCAGCTGGGACTAGAAGAATCAAGTCAAACCTACTCGCATTTATGTTGTAGAATGAAAGCTAGCAGGTAACCACAAATAGCAGATCATCAACTGCAACTAGCACTTTGTTCTCGTATCACTTTGTATTTATAATTCTTTAAATTTCCTGTAGAAAACAGCATACATAATGCACGGTATCGCACTCACGTATCACAATGAAAACAAAGGTAATATTGTCTGTTCGATTAACCTACATGTACATAAACATACGTACATTTAGCAACACGTGATGATGATTCTATAAGCATCTTTAAGATTAACAACTGGAACTTTAACACAATAGGTATTAACTGAAGTTTAACATGAAAATGACTATAAGTCGTCGAGGCGTTATTTCATACATGACGCCGTGTCCAGACAAATTGGTATATCTACAAAGTACTTTCGGAATTGGTCTGATAAATCGTCGTTACAAACTCTGTAATCATCAATTAATCCACTGTTCAAATACTTCTTCGACGCAGAATAAATCCCAGACACTTCTTATCTTGCTGAATAAAACACACACACTCAGTTGTCACATTCTTAAAATACTCCAAAACGGCGTAATCACCCAACTCAATTTTCTCCGTCACAACATGAAGTGAAACATGCAAAATGCCTTTTATTGTGCAGAAAAACTTAAAGCTCTATGTACTTTCTATTCTTCAGCCACAGAACTTTTTTCAATAAAAAACAAATAGATCAAAGAAACTTTACACAGTGAGATGGCATTACGTTAAAAAACATGTTTAATAACCAAAGCATTCAAATAATTTATTTGTTAAATAATGTTTCCGTGCAAGTTACTGTTTATGATATGGCTGAATGGTTACGAAAACAAAAACAGAGTTAAAAAAGCTCGCATAAACATATAGTTATCACTCCAGTCTTACTTGTAAGGGTTACATATACCAAGAAATCCCAGGAATATTGAGTTAAATGTGGTTAAAACAACGGCATTGGGTGTTCACCACATTATCATGCTTAATAGAAGCCAAAATTCATGGTCCACCATACGTGTTTATAAAATCCACAAAAAAAAAAAAGCTGGCATTAATTTCAAGCTAACACATTTCACGTGAACACTGCAAAAACTTAACAACGGATACGGTTTTTTCTTTTTTTTTTGCTAGCTGAACCGTACTTCTCTCAATTTATTCCGTGAAAGATCCTGTTCAACTTTCAACTTCCACACCTATACCATAACCCGTGATGAAAACTACACTACATGCAACTAACACAACCGTTCTGGAAGAAAGCCGGGAACACTGTGCACATGAGCCAGAACAGACAGACAGCGGATTTGATGTCACACCTGGATGTTACATGTGCAGCCATCCGCGCGATCTGGCTAAATGCCAGGTGCAAGAAACTGTAGTGGGCGTTTCACTTATATAGGTGTGGCATCTGACGTAAGTCTAAAGCGATACCCTTAAGAACAGTTACGGCCAAACAACTGTAGTAGACCATTTTCTTTCTTTTTTATTACGAATATTCCCTCTTCAACAGCATGAACATTTATAATATATTTCCGACTTTTTTAGAGATGACTACACAGAGGAACAAAATATTCACGAGAAAAACGCGTGTGCTTTCCATATGGTGAACTCTATGGTTTTTGTTTTTGTTGAATGATAAACTAAAAAGGAAACAATCTACACAGTAATGGTGACAATAACTGAGAATTATGTTTTAGGCACTCAAGCGTCTTAATATGAAATATGTGTAACATATTATTTCTCAGACAAAACACAGCCATATCACCTTAGCACGTGTATATCTAGTGAGGTACTTTTTGAAATGTTCTTACATAATAACTCTTGATATATATGTATCCAAAGATAGCTAAGAGGATCATAAGGTATAAAATATTGTGAAAAACAATACACAATTCTTCTGTTTTAGTGTCCACTATTTAAATGTTTACAGATTTACAACTTTCATGCTAAAGGTAAAATTTGCAAAAAGTGCGAAAACTACTTTCATTAATCAATTCTTTATATTTGGCAGGCTGCTGAGTGGCTCATACAACGGCTGTTTTTGTTTGTATTTTTCATGTACAAACTTTTAGCTCATAGCTCTTCATCTCTTAAGTGATTTGAGATCTAATTATAGTTTTTAGACTCAGGAGGTCAAACCTTTTCGACTGATGTATTTGACCACACCCAAGGTCTCATAGATTGTTTGTTTGTTATGGATTTCGCGCAATGCTACACGAGGGCTATCTGCGCTAGCCGTCCGTAATTTAGCAGTGTAAGACTAGAGGGAAGGCAGCTAGGCATCACCACCCACCGCCAACTCTTGTGCTACTCTTTTATCAAAGAATAGTGGGATTGACCGTCACATTATAAGGCCCCCACGGCTGAAAGGGCGAGCAAGTTTGGTGTGATGCGGATTGTGAGTCAAGCGCCCTAACCACCTGGCCATGCCGGGCAGGTCTCATAGATAAATTTACTCTAATTCTGCTTAAACGAATTTCAATTGCCACAGCTATTGAGGTTCCCTCTGGTTTTTAAAAGCAATGAATATTGATTTTTCGGATTATTCTACAATTATCTATACCACCAATGTCAGTTTAACTAACAAACACAATCTACTCCAGAAATACATACACGTGTATAAAAGAAAATTATTATACAAAAGTCAAAACGATGACATTAACAACCTTTTGTTACACGTTCTCCTATAACTTATACATAGTCAAAGGCGATGTATCGTCATCACTTACTCTTTTCAAATTACCGTTAAAATATTCTTATTTTAGGACACAACACAAAGTTCAAGACCACATATACCAGCATGTTTTGGTTGTTGAATTTTGAGCAAAGCTATCCCAAGCCTATCTGTGCTAGCAGTCCCTAATTTAGAAGTGATAAGACTAGATGGAAGGCGGCTAGTCAATACCACTACTGCCAACTCTTGGGCTACTTTAATTGAATAGTGGGACTGACCGTCACATTATAACGTACCCACAGCTGAAAGGGCGAGTATGTTCGATGATAGGATTCAAATCGAGACCCACAGATTACGAGTCAAGCGACCTTATCACCAGGCCAGCATACTTTGAAAATTAGCCTTTATCTGACTGACTAGATACATTATCAAACGTATTGAAAAAACGCACCTTGACAATGGCGTGTGTCTTATTTCACTTTTAAGGATCCGTTTTGATAGACAGTAGGCCTCTGTTAGAGTTGATAACACCTTGAACACCAACAGAAATACTTAGTCAAGTTTAATAGCGTACCTAGACTCAAATTCATCAACAGGCCAGTCAACGTGCCTGTTTACTTTTCTATCTAATGAATATAACAAGAGTATTAAAAATTATGAATTTTAAAATGAGGTAGGGATTCTGTTATAAAAAGTAGTGAAATAAGAGTATTAAAGAATTATGAATACTAATATGAAGTAGGGATCCTCCTATAAAACGTAATGAAACAAGGATTCAAACCACAATCACAAATTTATAAAATTTAATCGTTACTTTAGCCTACAGATAAGTGTATAAAGCTGCGAAAGTTGGGTAGTTAAATTTTTATTAAATTTGTTGATTTTGGTTTTTAATTTCTTTGTTTTCTATTACTTTTTTATTAG